TGCAATAGGATTCTCATCCCTGACTTTGGAGCTGTTGCTAATAGTCTGTTAATGTAAAATATAGGTTAAAGATAACTAAATTTTCTTCTAAGCACACCAATGTTAGAGTTTGGAATTTAAAAAGCATCTTATGTTGACAAATAATTTCAGTAAGAAAAGAACATAGACCAAACTCAAAACTAGCAGAGAAATAAAAAACAGAGTTATGCGTATCAAATTAAGAGAGCCAAGTCCATGGCTAGCACAAAGACTCCACTAAAAAACAGAAAATCATTACAAGAATTTCTCACAGTAATATTATTTATCACAAGGTTGAAGTCTACAACTTCACACTTTATAAGAAATGCTTACAACGGCGTAATTAAAAAAGCATTTGGCGAATGCAACATCATTGGGACAACTTGAAGAATACGATAACATTTTTTTTGATAGGTAAAATTGATAAAATTAAAAATTCTGACCTGTCGGATACGACTACGATAACATTGTTTAAGTCGACAACATAGGTGGTGTAATTTCACGGAGCTCTTGCCTTTTCTTTCACATTTTCTTCTACATGAGCTTTACCCTTACGGATAGTAACTTTTCATGAGATTTCCACGTCCTCTTTTTTGGTTATGTGAACCAAATCCTTAAATGCACGGGACAAATCCATGTATGCCTGATCAAAAGCAAATGACAAACAGGATTAAATTTTAAAAAAATAAAAAAATAAGAGAAGACCTTTTTTTAATTGTTTCCAGGGATTTTTTGGGTAACCTGCTCCATTTGAGCTCATTAGTTCCACCAAGAACTTATAATCAAAATTGAATTTTTCAGTGCTCCTCTTTTAGTTTAACCTGCAAACTAAAATTCAGGATAGAAACACATTTGGCCATGCTCATCATAAAATTCAAATTAGTTTATTGAGAAAAATCTTGGAGATCTTCGTTTGCTTCTGGTTCCTTTTCCATCTTTTTTGTATTTCTTCCACAAAAATTTTGTGCTTAGATCACTATATATTTTGTGCTTAGTCATTCAAAAAGATACATAAACTACCGCAGCAGAAACGCAAACGAAAAGAGCAAAGATTGCCACCCAGTTACTTACTCAACCACAAATTTGTTGGATGAAGGTAGCTTGTACCAAGGAGTTCAATTTCTTCCCTATTTTTGTAGTTAGGGTTTCAAGTGTTGAGATTGAGGGATTTGGGGATGGAGCTTCAACAATTGATTTGGGATTTCTTGATTTCACGTTTCTGGTTTGTGTTCTATGGGAAGAGACGCATTTAAGAGTTAAATTTTGGTCAAGGCGTGTTTGGCTGTATGGTACTGATATGGCGAAACATTTAACATTTGGAAGGAGATAAGAGGCCAGATCAGATTTTCGTCCTCCATGTTAGCGTTAATTGAGACGAAATCGACCCAGTGTGTAATGGAGAATAACATATCAAAGTTCAGTGGGTAATGGGATGATTTTCGAAGTTCAGTGGGTAAACCGTGACATGGTGTAAAGTTCGATGGCCATCCAAACATTTAACTCCAATAACTTCCTTTTGCGGTGAATTCACAACGGCAAAACCTCGTTGTCTTCACCAAAACATTGAAGGTATGCTTTTCTATGAATCTTTTAGATAAAGATCAAATATGTAATTCTGAAATATGGGAACAATTCGATTTTGCAATTAATTTATATTTGTTGAGTTAAATAAATCTAAGAATTGGTATAAGAGGTAACCCAATTACGTTTGGAGTTCTTTTTCCAGGATTTCTATCTTCGTGGGTTTTAAAAAAGCCAATTATAAGATGCTTTTTTTTTTCTCAAATGAATACTTGAACTTATAAACTTCATGAACAAGTTTCTTCATGCAGTTTCTTTGGACCAAATCGATATTACAAAACCGTGGAGGATGAAATTTGGGGAGTAAAACCCCTTTCGAATCATAGAAATTGGACCGAGGCCAATAGCCGACCGGGTCAGGTGTTGGGTTGACCCGGTTGCAGTCTTTCTGAAATTTTCTGTAGGTTAGGATGACTTTAGTAGGAGTTCTCTGGTCGAAAATACGACATGGAGAAAATAATAGCAAAGATGTATTTTGATTTTAACAACGTTAATAATCCCTTTAATTTTGTCTCATCTACCCCTTTATACTGGAACTGCAATTGAATAGAACTAGTTTGAAGAATATTTAGTTCCTGAATATTTGAAAATGGAAAGAGAAATGTGAAAACATAATATTTGTAGTTTAGGAGTAATGAGTTATCTGGACTATTTCTTTGTTGATCTTTATTTTGTTAATGTTCAAACTACTAGTGAGAAATTGACAGGTGAGGAGGTTATATTCATAAAAATTAGTGGAAGTCCTCTGGATATACTTAAAACTAAATTTACTTGTGACACTAAATTCACTGTTTTGATCCCAATGTTATCATTTTTATGATTGTTGGAAGTCCTCTGGATATACTTGAAACTAATGAAATTAGCTATGTTTTCTAACCGGACAGCCAGTTCAACCGGTAAAACCTGAAACCAGCCAGTAAACAGGTTCAATCAATGCTCAAAAACCCCCTTTTTAGAAAACTGGGGAAAACCCCTGCCAAAAGACGGAACCTATTGCAAACCAGTTGGCCGTGCTCCGGTTTTTCTGGTCTAGCCGGTTGTCTTATAATTTAGAAAACGAAAAACTTCTGGCCCTCTGAAGCAGTAAATATATGAAAATGGAGTGACTTCACTGCGAATTGTTCCTCTACTCTTTCCTTTACTCAGTTTGTGGGATTATGATGAGAAATGTGCTTCAAGCAGCTTTACCACATGTTGGATTATCATAGAAAATAATTATTTTTATTTCAAAAAATTTGTAAGAAGATCTGAAACCCAAATAATTATTTCTTAATTTGATTTATTTTCTCATTCTACCTCTATTTTTCTCATTTAATTTTATTTTAATGACCCGCTTAAATCCTATATAAATGTTTAAGCGATTCATCATATATTGAAGTTTTCTCTATATTTATAGTCTCATTTGCTATTCATATTATAAGTGGACACAACAAAAATTGAATGTAGACAAGTTTAATAAGTGGTCTTATTTATATTTATTAATTAAATTTAGAAAACTAACTTTATTTTTGTCTTCCATATATATATAGTGGTATGTTATTTATTACAACCAGTTCGACCTAGTTTGACGTTTTGACCCTTGACCATTTCTGTTTTCCGGGTAAATGCCCAGTTCGGCTTAAATTGTATAATTTTTAGTAATGGATCATTGTGATACTTCTGAGAATAGAGCACAAGTTACATGTGAGACTATTGCTGATGTAAATGGCTGAAATGCTGTGACCTATATGATGTTTAATTGCACATTAGTAGTTGTTTCAGCTTATTTAGTTGTGCACCAAAAATGCTATTATTGTACATTTTGTAGGAATGAGATCGTGATATTAAAGGGATGACAGGAATGGGGAGAACTATATATTGATGTTGCTGAGATAAATAAATTTCCGAGCAGCAAGTAGAATCTTATTTATTATATGCATAGAAATAGTTCATTTTGCACTATTTTTGTTACATCATCTTCAAATGCATGAGTTGGTGTGCATTTTTCTGATAAGCTGTGATAAACTCTAGCACGTGCTTAAAGTCTGAAGCTGCAGGGATTTGGCAGTGAAGGAAATTCATATATGTTTCTTGCTAGAGTGCTCTGTAATGAAGGAAATTATATATGTTGACTTGCTACAGGTTAAAGCTTGGCACGGCCTGTGGATTGGCATTCCATACTCCCACTTAACCGAAGCAATGCAAGGAGTTTTTGAGCTTTGAAGAAACAAATACCATTCCTCATATTATCTGCTAGTCCCATGGTGTTCTCAGGTAAGTAGAATTAAAGTTTATTTTAAGTGAGTGTATTAAGTTACTTCAATTGGCCACCTGGGGTACAATAACTTGACCTTCCATATGGCCTCCTTTGAAAAGCTTAGGTTACTTGGCCTCTGTTTGGATACAAATTTATAAATAGTTAATAAATTCAGTTAAAGTAAAATTTCAATTTCAACCACACTTTCATATTTACTACTCATGATTCTCTGCACATTAAGTGGGTGCTACTCATTATTCTCTGCACATTAAGTGGGACCCACTACTATTTCTCTTACTATTCTTATTTAAAAACCAGTTATTATGTTAACATTTCTAATTAGTTGCTCCGTATCTTGAGGATTTTGAGATCCATCAACCTGGAAAATTTTTTGTGCAATTCATGACTCAGTCAGTTTGGACACAAAAGTGATGATCATCAAAGACGAGTCCAAATTAGATAAATGTGATATGTGCAAAAATGATGATCATAGAAGACGAGTCCAAAGCAGATAAACTTTGAATTTTACAGATTATGTAATATGTGCAAGAAGTTGTTCCAGCGGGCTTAGAGTTAGCTTTGTGAAGGATCTTCTTTCTCACTCAATAAATTTTCGTTGTGGCAAGTTTTTTCTTCTAGCAGTGTAAAATGCTTGAGGTTGCAGTAGATGCGTAAGCAAGCCTGTCACTATCCTATTTCTAAGTCAGGAATCAAATAGCTGTGGCAAGCAAGTTTGGTTAAGCTCAACTTAAGATTCACTTTAAGTGAAAAAAGAAGAAAAAAAGTGACACTAATATAACTGTGATCTTGAAGCAAGAATTATGGATACCATCAAATTTTCCGACTTTGATTGACAAGCTTGCTTACTCCTCTACTGCAACCTCAAGCATTTTACCTGCTAGAAGAAAAAACTTGCCACAACGAAAATTTATTGAGTGAGAAAGAAGATCCTTCNGAATTATATTGAGTGAGAAAGAAGATCCTTCACGAAGCTAACTCTAAGCCCGCTGATACAACTTCTTGAGCTTCCTGAAAAATGGGTACCAATGGAAAAATGGGTTATGTTGTGTGCTGACATGTGGGTGAAGGTAGACCGTGTCGACCTGAGTGTTCAGGTTCGTGGCAGCTCAGGCCCACCAACTTTATTCCCCTAATAACTTGCTGTATTTTGCATATTTTCAGGAAGCTCAAGAAGTTCCAACGGAGCAATTTCCATGTAGATGGAACACTTCTTACCAAATGCACATCCAAGTAAAAGCACTTCTTTCAGAACTATCAAAACTCAATCAAACCCTTTCAAGAACCAAGATTTTGCACGGACTTGTAATCCAGAATAACCTCTCTCGCGATCCATTTTACGCAACCAAAATTGTGAGATTCTATGCAATAAACAATGATCTCGTTTCAGCCCGCAACCTGTTTGATAAAAGTCCTCAACGGAGCACTTATCTGTGGAACTCCATAATTCGAGCTTATGCACAAGCCCACAAATTTTCTGATGCATTTTTGCTGTTTCAGCGCATGCTAATTTCGGAAACAGAGCCTGACAACTTCACATTCGCATGCGTTTTGCGAGCATGTTCTGAATGGAGGAATGTAGAGGGTTTGAGGGCAGTTCATGGGAAAGTCGTCGTTTCTGGTTTAGGAATGGAATTTATTTGTGATAGTGCACTTGTGAGTGCTTATTCTAAAATAGGCAATGTTGATGCGGCGAGTCGCGTGTTTTATGGGATACATGAGCCAGATTTAGTATTGTGCAATAGTATGATCTCGGTTTATGGTTGTCATGGTGATTGCACGAAAGGACTGCAATTGTTTAGCATGATGCTGGAAATGGGAGTAAGCCCAGATGGGTATACAGTGGTAGGGTTGATCACGGGGTTGACTGATCCTAGTTTCATAAAAGTTGGTGAAGCAATACATGGCTTTTGTTTCAAACACAGTTTTGTTCTGAATGATCATGTGGGTAGTGTTCTTGTGAGTATGTATTCAAGATTTAAGTGTATGGACTCGGCCTGTAGAGTTTTTAATAGTTTAGTCCGTCCTGATGTAGTTATTTGGTCGTCGCTAATAACTGGGTTTTCTCAGGCTGGGAACTATTTAAAGGCCTTAAACTTTTTCAGTCAATTTATAATCAATGGCGGAAAGGCAGATCCTGTATTGATTGCCAGCGTACTTGCGGCTTCTGCTCAGTTGGCAGTTGTTGGGCCAGGCAGCGAGATACATGGTTATGCTGTTCGTAATGGATATTACATGGAGATCATGGTTTCCACTGCTCTGATTGACATGTATGCGAAGTGCGGGTTCTTGGAATTGGGGATTCTGGTTTTCAAAACTAAGACAAATACGAATATAGTTATGTACAATTCTATGATTTCATGTCTTGGCCTGTATGGACGTGCATCTGATGCCTTTCAGTTGTTTAATGACATGATAGGTGGAGGATTCAGTCCAGACGAAACTACTTTTTGCAGTCTCCTTTGTGCATGTTGTCATGCTGGTCTTGTCAACGATGGTAGGGAATATTTTAAGATGATGAAGAATGAATTTGGCATTAGAGCTAAAACCGAGCATTATGTTTACATGGTAAAGCTTCTTGGGATGGCTGGAGAGTTGGAAGAGGCCTATCAGCTAATCAAATCCATAGAAGAACCGGCGAATTCGAGTATTTGGGGTGCACTTTTATCATGCTGTGATGCTCATAAGAATTATGAATTGGGAGAGGTCATAGCTCAGCATCTATTTAAGAATAAGGCGGAAATTAGCAAGTACAGTGTTATGCTCTCTAATTTGTATGCTGGTGATGAGAGGTGGGATGCTGTGAATCAGTTGAGGGTTGACAAAGGCCGGGACATAAGGAAGATCCCTGGGATAACCTGGATTGGTGGTACAAATCATTGAGAAAAATCAATGCGTGATTAAACTCTCTGTTTCATCTTTGATGGAGCAATCCCATGAGGCAGCTGAAGATTTGATTCCAGTCCAGTCTTCTGAGCGTTACTTTCACAAAAGAACAGACGGATCAGTTGAAATTCGTTTAAAAAAGGAATGAGCGGAGGCTGATCAGAGTTTTAGGAAGAAAATTTCTGGGAAGGGTTAGATTTTCAGTTGACGCCTGAGATATGAAATGAATTTTTTCCTACAACCGGTGGCTGTTCCTCTCTTCAGCTGAGGCAGAATACATTGTTGTAACAGATGAAATGAAGGAAGCATTATGGCCGAAAGAGCTGATAAATGAATTTATGATAGAAGAACAGAAAATGAGGATTTCAATGACAGTCAAAGTGCCTTCTTCCTCACTAAGAACCAGGCTCGTAGTGAGAGGACCAAACACATTGATGTGAGATTGCACTTTTTGAGGGAAATCATTGAATGTATGAGCAAAACTAATTGAGAAATGAAGAATCTGATAGCAGTTAAATGCACAAATTAATATCCCCAGTATCTTGAGTGTGGTTTTCCAATTCATAAAACAAAAATGAAGAGGCTGGGAGTTCAAACCTGCTGTAAACAGAGATGATTTCATCAGATTTGTTGAGAAAGGTTGACAAAATTATATGTAAAAATGGGAGTATACGTGGCATTATGACTTATTGAACCACATCGTTTAAAAGCTTGAGGTGAATTCAAGATTATATCAGAGAAAGCAGAGGGATTTCCCAACTGCTGCCAACATTCTCTTCAACATAATTTGCTATCGTGTCAACTGTAAATTTCTCAATCTCGTGTTTTAGAACTCTTTTAATTCGGATTTCTGCCTAGTGTCTTTTAAGTCCCTTTTACCACTGAGCTCAATTTTGGTTTAATATATTCGAAGTTCTTTTAATTCAGGATAACTGCAATTTCTTCAATGTCTTGGCTCATCAACGACACGAGACGAATGAGTGGAAGTATGCCGGAGCAATTGGACTGCGGAGCACAAGGCAAGGGAGACCGGCCAGAAGGGTCAAGATGTAATGAGACCTTAGAATATATATGTCATAATTAAGTTATTTGTTTGGTTTGCTCAAACATGCCATAAATATGTTCCGTCTCTGTAATAATTGTTGGTTGATATGTATATCTGGTTTATAATGTGGAGTTTACGTTGCATTAACGTGTCGTTTTTTGTATGATGGATGGACGAGGGATTGTGTACATGAGCTCATTTGTATATTTAATTAGTAATTTATTAATTAAATAGATTAGGTTTTGCTTGATCCTTCTACTTTTGCTCTATTAGTTCAGTACTTTTCTTGGCTGCCCAGTGAACATTATCTCCACTATGATGCCAAATCAACCTGCAAGTCAGATAAGATAACAAATTGCTTAAGGAAAGATGACTTACAAGTTTGTACCGATATTTAGAAGATCAAGGCAACTTCTAAACTTTACTAATGGGAGCACCTTAGTTCCCATGTCAGCAGGATTATATTCTGAAACGACTTTCTCAAGTTTTACTGGTTTTTGAGAAATCATATCTCTAATGAAATGCAATCTAACATCTATATATTTAGTACGTTCATGAAAGATATGATTTTTGCATAGGTGAATAGCAGATTGACTATCAGAGTATATTGTCACATTGTTATTAAACACGCCAAGTTCATTTAATAGTTAATACACATTTAAACCACAAAGATTCTTTAAAGGCTTCAGTAGCAGCAATATATTTAGATTCAATAGTGGATAATGCAACAACATGTTGAAGTTGTAATTTCCAGCTAACACATGAATTACACAAAGTAAACACATAGGAAGATATAGATTTCATATTATCTCTATCATCAGCATAATTAGCATCAACAAAGCTTTTCAATTTTACTCCTTCAGTACTAAACTTATATATTAAACTAGCATTGCATGTTCATTTCAAATATCTAAACAGTCATTTTAAAACTTCCCAATGTTAGGACCAGGATTGGACATATACCTGCTAAGTGTACTAATAGCATAGGCTAAGTCAGGTCTAGTACACACCATAAAATACATAACAGAGCCAATGGCATTTGAATATGGAATCTTTTTCATATATTCTTCTTCATCTTCATTAGCAGGTGATTGTTTTTTAGATAATACAAAATGATTAGCTAAAGGCAATGTAACAGGTTTACATTCATTCATGCCAAATTTTCTCAAAATTTTCATGATATATGAAGTGTGATGTAAAAAAAAAAAATGAATTAGACATATCTCTTTGAATTTCCATATCTAAGATTCTTTTAGCATTACCTAAGTCTTTCATATCAAATTCATTATTCAAAGTAGTTTTTATATCACTTAACAATTTCAAGTTGGGACCAATAAAAAGCATATCATCCACGTATAGCAACAAAAACACAGTTATTATCGTCACCTTGATAGTATAAGTAATGATCAAATTCACTCATCTTAAAACCAATTGTTTGAACAAACAAATCAAAACGTTTGTACCACTATCTAGGAGTTGTTTTAGGCCATACAAAGAATGTTTAAGAATACACACATGATCAGGTTTTTGTTTATTCTCAAAACCCTTATGTTGATCCATAAAAATCTTTTCATCAAGTTCACCATACAGAAAAGCAGATTTAACATCAAGTTGTTCAAGTTCCCAATTAAAATAAGCAATTAATGCAAGCATAGTCCTAATAGTGATATACTTAACAATTGGAGAAAAGATTTCATTATAATTTATCTCTTCCTTTTGTGTGTAACATTTGGTCACAAGTCTAGCCTTAAACCTTAAAGCCCCCACCTTTGGTGATTTCCTCCTTAATTCTAAAAACTCATTTACACCCAACAATAGACTTGTCTTTTGGTCTTGGGACTAACTCCAATGTTTGATTTTTATCAAGGGAATTAATTTCTTCTTCCATCGCTTTCACTCAATCCTCATATTTTTCACTCCTTAAAGCTTCTTCATACGTGTTTGGTTCCCTATCAACTAGTTCTTCATAACTAGCATAAGCAAGATCAAAATCAGACTCTAACCTTTGAGGTACCCTATGTGTTCTCCTAACTTTGTCTCTAGCT